TTCTCAAAAGGTAGATAACAGCGAGGTGAGAGTGCATTGATGGGTTTTCTTGGGTAAGAGGAGCTTTTATGAGTATATGGATGAACACAAATACACATCTAAAGCAGCGGAGAAAGCTCACTATATAGAATCCTTCTAAATTGTTCACCGAAGGATTTAAAAATTACAAATAGTCGGCTGAGTATTTATAATGTAAAATATACATGGCACTTGATCAAACTGTTTTGGAGCACATCTAACATGATGTTAATGGAGCTATAAATGACTCCGCAAATGGTCCATGAAGGAATTTTTATAGCATGGTTACAAGCTCAAAAATATGCATATTATGAGGTATTTAAATTACAACGGCAAAAATGTGAAAATATGTTATACCATATTATGTGTATTTCGATCAGTGGGATGTGGATTTCTGCATTAAAAATATGGAAATATAAAATGGAGTAGAGGAAGAAAGAAGTGTTAGATCAAAACCAGGCTGTAGATTGGAACGCAGGTAGGTGGCTGATATCCTGTCCGACAGCAGTGTCAGCTAGCTCACTTCAATTGTGGTGCAAAGATTTGTAGGATTTCTGGACAGGGCACGTCATGTATCAAAACCATCAGCCTCTAGTGGTGTCAGTGCCAGGAGACGTCACCATTTAGGCTACAATTTCACACCGTTTTTCCGGCACTGGGCCCAGGCGTAGATGGAACCCCACTGAGTCGAGTCTGGCAAACTAAAGCAAAGACAACCGGTGCAACAAGCCACTGTCAACCTGCCAGAGACTGTCTACTGAATGGATGCCACAAAAGGGGGAAAACTGTTTGACGTGGTTTTGGCGGAGAGGTAGAGATGCAGGAGGATAAAGTGTCAATTTGGAGTAAAAAAATGGAGCAGAGTACATGATTATAGTGGAATTCGCACAATGGTTGATTTAGATTGTGGTGCGCAACGGGAGCCAAAAATCCAGCAAGCCCACTTTGTCTAATGTAATTTAATTAGAGGATGGGGGAGAAAGGAACAGAGTTGGCTATGATGGCAATTAAAAAGGTGTTGTGAATTTAAAAAAAACTAGAGAAAAAAAAAGTTTCTTTACTCTTCAGCTCAACTTGGTGGCAATTGGAACAATACTATGCATTATTACACACCACATTCATACACAGGCAAGTGGTAAATGTAATTAAATGTATGTATGTATACTTGTAAATACATATTTTATCATTTAAACATCAAACATCGCTTTTTCCAAGGGTGTCTTGGCCAAGATGTATTCCCACTCAAAACATTCATATAAAACATACACGTGACTAGAATAAAGAGACTTATTTGGAGGTGGCTACAGATTTTAAAATATGCAAAAGTTGACTACAAAGCCTTCATCAGGATGTACAACAATATATAGTTTGTATAGACAAATCCTACTAGCTTCAAAAACAAAGGCTTGTCTGTATAAGAATAGGAAACTATACAACCGGAGGTTTTATTGAATCTTATGTGCACAAAGATCTCCATTTTCTCTTTTTATTGGCAAGGTCATCCATTCTGAAGTCACCCAAAGAAATTGAATATCAAATTGACAAACTGGAGAGATTTTTCTCATTAGTTGGACAATTAGCTTGTGGTGTATTCATTACTGCACCACTGTCACCTCATTAATCACCCCGGAACAATGGAGGCGCTGTACCTGCGACTATATGCCATTAGCATCCAGCGCAGGCATCCTATTTCTCGCTGTTGAAACTACAACTCCATTATTAAAGTTGAGTTTTTGCCTACTGTTTTTTTGCAGAGGTGTGTGAGCGTAATTTCATAAAAGAATTATGCTTTGTTATTTTTGAACCGACTCCATGGAATTAAAATCTGTATGATTAAAAGTACACGGGAAAAAAAAGAGAAGAAATTATGCTGGAATTTACCCTAGTAATTTATCCAATGGCAAAACACAGCTGGATAAAACCATCCATCCATCCATCCATTTTCTACCCTTTAATCCATTTCTGGGTCAGGGGGGTGGCAGTCAGAGATGCCACCCAAGTCTCATAGCACCAGCCCCTCACTGACCCTCTGCAGGTGGTGAGTCCACAGGAGGACGGCTGCTCTCTGAGTGTGAGCATAGCCTTGATCTTTCAGTGGGGGCTTTGGGCAAAGTGGGGTTAGGTGTCTTGCCCAAGGACACAACGACAGCCCACAGGTGCAGAGGTGGGAATTGAACCCACGACCTTCTGGCCTTAAGGCCAATGCATTATTATTTATTTAATTGTATTTATTTTGTTATTTGAATGGAACATTAGTCAAACTGTAAATGTAAATATGTCATAGTTAGCCTTCTGTAGTCCCATGGCAGGTTGATGTTACAGCCACCACTAAAGGGACATTAATGTAATGTGAAGAGGCGGGGACCCAAGCTTGATCCTTGTGGTACATCATTCAGTTACTGACTGTATTGTCAAAAGAATTACTGCGCCGAACACACTGTTGACCTTTTCAATTTACAATTTTAACCAATGAATCACTATTGGAGAGAATTTTTGGCATAAAAAAGTTTCCTGAAATTACCATAAACTGCTGTGGCAACAATTTTGATACGTTTTCTAGCTGCATGTTGCTCTGTTGAATTATTTTTCAGTAAGTATTTTTTTATGAAAAAAGTGCATTTTGATATATTAGTAATTAGCATTATTCTGTAACTATTCACACCTTTGGGATTAAATACTGATTGCCCTGGCAAGATTTCAATTTTGAAGAGTAATAAGTGAAATACCCTACAGCCTGACAATGAAAAGCTATCAAAAATAATTGGAAGTAACTTTTTGACATTGGCTATATAGAAGAAAAAGGCTGGCTGAAAAAGCTCGTGATAGCTCTGCCGCACTCTCCACTCTAACCTTTCTTGTGCGTCCCTCAAGTTGCACATGCAATCATCTGCTCTCCCCATGCGGCCCCTTGTCCAGACCGGAGTGTGTTTGGCTGCTCTCTCAAACCCTGCTCACATCAAAGGGGAGGCAAAGGAAGGGCTGCTCCGAGCTGATTAACCTGCTGGCACACTGCAGACACACTCCTTTAGCTCCACCAGCTCCCTTAGAGCCCAATCCACACTCTACCCTCAGCTGGCTGCAAAGCGAACACTGGCATTTTCTGTGTTGTGATCAGAAAATGGGGAGGTGGTTTAGTCCAAGGATTACGTCATACCAAAAGGGAAGGACTGAAGAATTTAGCTGATAATGTTACCATAATTATTTGTTTAGTGTGCCTGTATTCATACACTTTGAATGTGTACAATTGTGACATGTCGGCTCAAGTTGTCTCATTGAAACTACCAACTCTGCTGCATTTATTATTAGTATTCTACTAATTCCTATATTGCTACTGCTACTAATGCTGCTAAAACCATTACTAATACTACTGCTAATACTACTACGACTTCTACTCGTACTAATCAGCATTTGCTATGACTGTGTCACATCAGTTTCATCTTTTGTGTCTTTTGTTGAACTATAAATCAATACATAAAATGAAATTGAATACCATGGCAACCACTACTACTCAAACTACTTGATTATGTCTAAATTGCAACAGCAAATGCCTGGGTAGAGCACAGTAAACGATAATAACTGGAACTATATTCACCATATGTACTGTATGTGCTGGTCTGAATATCAAATGAAGCATATCAATTGTGCGTACATAAAGTCTCCTTAGGAAATTGCACTTTATTCAAATTCCTCACCTTTCCACACAAACAAACCACGTTCTCACATGGGATCCAAGCGGCACACGGCTGCCATTTACAAATCTTTGCAAGCTTCATCTCTTCTTTGAGTATTTCAAGTCATCTAATGCTTACCGGCTTTTCACTTCAAATACCTCTGTGATTGTCAGACAAAATATTACCCCTGGCTCACGACACAACAGCCGAAATCCCTTAATAGCTGCAGCAATTCAGAGAACACATAGAGGATATCCGGGGAAGATGTTCTATTCTCTGTAATTCCAGTTTACCTGTAATTCCTAGGTCTCCGTGGATATGGGAAGCTGTGGTTGTTATAGCAATAGGACCCCAGAAGTCCTCCTATCATGTTAGTAATGACCTCATTTCTATGCATTGTCCCTTCAAAACTATGCCACTCTGAGACACCTCAACTCCCCTCAATAGGTTTGCACTGTTCTAAATTGCTTCTACCAGAAAGCTCAATTTTGTTCCAAATCTGACACCCTTGAGAATAAGTGCCCTGAAATGTGAAAACAGTTGCTGTCCAGAGGGAATATATCCAGTATTGTGCATATACAGACACAGTTAATGCATGCCTATAATGATGATGTTATGATGCAATGATTTATTTGTTTTGGAGAACTGGGACATGTTTCATAAAGCAGGTTGAAGGAATTAGCTTGCCACGGTTGTCCCAGTAGAACACGTCAGAGTGTGACAATAAGCAGCCACTGTGTGTATAGAATATAGATGGTATTTCCAAGCAATTGGGTTATGAACATTACTTATGATCTCCGATGAACATGGTCTAGGCTGAACTGGCATTTTAAACATATTTATTTATATATATATATTTTTTTTCTTAACATTAAACAGAATAGACTTGTTACTGATACCAAGCAATTTATTCAGAAAATATGCTAGAAAAATATTGAATTGCTGGGTTTGAACAGGCATGGGATACATTGAATATACGTGGCAATAAAAATGATTCTGATTCTGATTCTGATATACCTCTTGAAACCTGCTTTTTGAAACACGGCCCTGTTTTAATGCAGTGATGTTTTTGCTTTCTCCATGTCTGTACTAACATTTTCTTCCAGGTTTTCTTTGTATATACAGTGTGTTCATCATAATATAAATATGAATTAAATGTCAACTTAAAGCTATACCAAAACTCTTCATAAAGCTGTTATAAATCACCATAAACAACGATAAACTTCATTATAAACCAATGTATAAATGTGTGATGTGTGCTGCTGTTGCCATGTCCTCTCAAGCTGTCTGTTAAACTCTCAAACTTTAAAGGCAACAGCGACATTGAGCGCTATCAAATGGCAAATAAGAAAATCCCGTTCAAATATACCCGGCCAGTTGAAGATTGGCTTCAGGAGAAAGGTAAATCTCTGTCGACCTTCCAGAATGTTCCTTTTGTTTTATTTTCTCTGTCATTCCATCGGCTTGTTTCCCCCCTTCTCAACCTTTTTGGAGAATGAAGCCCTTTAAATCTTAAAAATCAGATCAGAGCAGCACCAATTCAGTGCTTAGATCATCTCTCCTTTCTCTTAATTTTCACCTTTCTCATGTCCTCTTGTCATCGTCATCTTTTTTCGTATTTTTCTTATCCATGGTGTCCAGTTAAAGGGACTGGGTACCCAGTCCCTTTAACTGGACACCATGGATAAGAAAAATACGTGGTGTCCATGGTGTCCAGTTAAAGGGACTGGCCACCATGGACACCACGTATTTTTCTTATCCATGGTGTCCAGTTAAAGGGACTGGGTACCATGGTGTCCAGTTAAAGGGACTGGGTAAAAGATGCACCATTTTTTACAGTACTATGCAGAATATAGGCATTCGGGTTCAATCAATAAAAAGCGTTTATAAAACTTCAAAGTAGATCAAATTGCGTCGCAGTATAAAAATGCATACAAAATAATGGTTATTGTCAAGGTTTTCTATTGGAATTTTAATGAAAACATGAGTGAGGTATTGCCTTTTTGGTTTCGGAAGCAAAGGCTATATTTTCTATACTCTCCAAAGTGTGAAGTGATACAAAATCATCTTTTTTTATCCATGGGTTATTAATGTGATAAAAAAGGCAAGAATTCCAAAGCCGAATCAATTATATTTACTCTTGAATCAGGACTAATAAAAGCCTTGTTTTCACCATAAATGTGGATCTATTTCACTGATAAAACATATAACAAGTTGTTTTTTATTAGAAGTCCCTATGGCGAAAGTTCTCGTTTCTCCTCATTCTGAACCCATGGATTTTTTATTTTTTTTTGCAGGTCAGTTTCCATATATACAGCACCACACTTCACATGTAATGGAAAGTCAAGTAGCATAGTTCCGGTTGGAAACTTTAACATTAAACTAAAAATCAATGCATACATTTGCAGATATACTTACAGTTGGAATAGCAATGCAACTGTTTTAAAATGCAAAAAAAATCTTTATTTTACTCAGAACATAGTGGTCCTGCAAATGGAATATTTTTATCAACCTTCAAAACACAAATGAAAGCAAACTTGACTTTAGCCTCTGAGTTGTAAAAGCCTGTGTTGTGGTGAAGACTGGCCCCTTTCGCTCCTCTTTTTGAGCTTGGAATAATCAGCATACTTCTACTTGTGAAAATGTTCCGAACAGCAGGTGTGTCTCCTGTCGGCATTTCACGGCGCTCACTTCACACATGTTTCAAGCCTTACCTTGTTTAATGACGAAGAGATAATTGGGGAATTTTTTGACAGCTTCAGCGCAACTGCCAAAGTGTAGCTCAATCAATGCGACCGGATTAACAAGTCAACACCTCGCTCAATTTCCAGCCTGCAAACTTTACCGTAATTATGTTTACCTTGCATAATATCACCATAAACTTCACATAAAGTTGATATCGCTGAAACATCTTATTAACCTGATTCTAAAGTCCCTTTAACAACTTACTGCTGAAACCGTCAGCTCTCGCCGAATGCATGCCACATCCATAACTCCTCATTTCTTGCTTCTGTGTCCCTGCCTGTGTTCTATTACCGATTCTTGCAATACAATATGTCAGCAAATTATACAAGCGAGATTTCAATTAAGATTCCATAGTGTGAAAGTTTGGTGTTTTATAATTAAATGCATGAGCACAATGTTTTGACAGTGATATTAAGACGTTGCTAATGACATCCAGCATGACAGGCAGTGAGTGTGTACGATGCACTCTTTATCATTCCATGCCACGGATCGAATACATATTTATTAATCACTCCAGTGCACCGGCCCACTGTTTTGTCCAGAGAATATTAACTGTTCCAGCTCATTTTTCAACATTTCCCAGCTCCCGCATGCATATTGTCCCTCGTCATGGAGCTGTTATTTATGCACGCTGTTCTCCAGTTGATAATATCGCTCTTGTATCACTTCTTGTTGCTGCAGTTGTATCATTTGTAATGCAGTAGAGAAAGGAGGAGATGAAAAAAGAAAAATATGCTTTTGGTGCTTCTTTTACACATTGTTTACCCTGCACATCCGTATATTTATAATATCCCAGTAAAGCAATTAATAAAGTGTTGATAAATGGAATAGAAAATGTAATTAACATAGTTGCTGCAGTATACACAACCATTTAACATTTCAAAGAATTTGTACCAACATTTAGTCACTGGTCTTTATTATGGCAAAAATTTAAGGTCAAATACCATTAACTTATGAATCAACTTTTCGCTACCAGTGAACTAATTTATGTTTGTCATCAAATTAGGATATTGGGATTGTTTCAGGTGTTTCTCAGCTGGCCTGGGAACGCCTTAGGGTACCCCGGATTAGCTGGAGTATGTGTGTGTGGTCATAGTCCCTCCAACATGTCCTTGGTCTTCCCCTGGACCTCTTCCTAGTAGAACATGCCCAAAACACCTCCTCTGAGAGGTATTCCGGAGGCATCTGAAACCGATGCCTGAGCCAACAGGTTCCTCTACCCCGAGCACCCATGCTCCTCCTTCTAAGGGGGCGCCCAGCCACTCTGTGGAAGAAACACATTTTGTGCATCTGTCCATTAAAACGGAAGCCTTCTAGCCAAGCAAGATATTAAAAGGTCCATCTCCACTTGCTAAAAAGTGTAGTGGAATAAATAATATAATGTAACAGTCTCTGCACGAACAAATTCACTGCTTGCAAATGTGATAATGAGAACAGTTGAGGAAAACACTTCAGATGTCAGACAGAAATGAGGCAAGGGAAGTGCAAAGATGGTGACACAATGTACTGTAGTATGTGCACTAATGGGCAAAGTCTTGTTATCTGGAACACTGTAATGAACAACATACTCAAGTACATGTAAGGGCTAGCATCTGGCTTTTCATCTTTTGATACGAGCATTGATAATTAGGCATAATAGCTATTATGTAGTAGCTTGAATTACCCAAAAAAACTTACCTCCATTTTTTATGTAGATTAGAGCTGTGTCCTTCACTTTCTTTAAACATGTGCTCTCCTATACACACTGTCGTTATTAAATCAGACATATCAAATCTAGAATGACCAGTGACTAAAAGTATCAATACTGACTATGGGATGATAATTGGTGGTATGCTGAAATTAAAATACAGTCTAAAAAAACATAAATATGTGTAATCACTGTTCGCATTGTCAGGTTTTATAAAATATCCATACATTCTTCTACATTAGGCCGACAGCTGACAATCTTCAACACCCAAGCCACCATCTCCATCGGGGGCAACGACAAGAAGCGGCCCTACCAGGGTCAGCTCTCAGGGCTCTACTACAACGGCCTCAAGGTCCTCAACATGGCCGCTGAGGGACACGTCAATATCAAGGTGAACGGGAGTGTGAGGCTGGTGGGAGACGTGCCGACGAGCAGGGGAGCGGCACGGACTACAACCTCCGTGCCCCCCGAAATGTCCACCACCTTCATAGAGACCACAACCACACTGTCCACCACCACCACCCGCAAGCAGCGCTCCCCACCCACTATTCAGGTAAGAAGATCCATTGCAAAGAGCCTATATTTTAAGATTTTGTTGACAGCCGAAGGAAGAAAGAGATCCTTTGTTCCTTCGGCTGTCAGACTGTACAACAGACCTGGATGAGTCTTCTGCTGCTGGTCACTTGAATTTCTCCTACAGGGGATCAATAAAGTATCTATCTAAAAAATGGTAACAATGGTAACTATGGTAATTTCAAGTCTTAGTTTAGAGTTAATTTATCTCTAATTCTTTGGTCAATGCTCATGAAACAAAAGTTGTCACACAGTTCCACATCTTCTCTGTCTGTACATATCAACTATGGTCTAATTATTTCCAGCCAAAGGTCTGCATAAACATTCGTTGCTATTGTATTTTAAAGGAACATGGATGAACGACTGTAGATCATGAGCGCAACCTACTCAAAGCCACCTAACACCCCATGATGGTGCAAAAATCCACCCCATGCTGTCATAAGTCAGAGATGAAAACCTTTCTAAACCTGCATGACTTGAGTAATCTTAGATACAGTACATTATCTAGACACCCCCCTTCATTCCCCAACAAGGTCAAGTCAGATCAGACTGTAGAAAAAGGCTGTTTTTGAGTTTTACGCCATATTAATTTCAAGGGTAGTCAATACTTTGAAAGGGATGCAGTTTGTGTCTTTTCAAGGTGAAATGATAAAGAGATACAGTATGTGTTTTGTCAATAGCGTATGTTTTTTTCACTGCAGGCTACTTCTTTTACTTTCAAAATAGAAGAATAGATATGTAAAATCTAGAATGGCAAGTGCTGCTGGCCCTGTGCGGTTTTAGACAGAGGGTTCTAAAGTAAGACATCACACGGTCCAAATAACTTCAGATGGTTGTCGTTTCCCTGAAGAATTGTATTGTATAGTGATGCAAGTGGAGTAGACTACCTTCACTTCTTCAACCCCGAACAAGGACAGCTGATTCAAGAGCCAAATTTTAAGTCGGATGTACCTCATTAACCTTGCTGCTTGGTAGACTATTTTCAGTGTAGTGAGTTTAAAGAAACGTATACCCTCAGTGTTCATTTTAGAACTGGTACTCTTTATTAATAGTACATCAAGCACGCACCATCAACCACAAGTGTGCCTACCGTGCCTATGCACCAGTTTCCTTGTGTTAATTTGGAGTAAAGAGTTAAGTCCCTCAGAAATGTGGCTTTCAGTGGTATAGTCAATTAATCTGAAACTTCGTCATTTAGGTCAGGTCATTTCAGTCACGTTCTTGTCCAGAATCTAGATTTTGAATGACATTATACACATTCTTTCTCGATGCATGATTCTACCTTTTCTAGCCATAGGTACTAAAAGTTGTACATACTTTATTAAAGGATGTTATTATGTGATAATCATAGAGATGTCGTAATACACATTGGGTTGAGTAAAAATACATTTTTGTTTTAAAAATTATCTGAGATTTACAACCTTTTCTTCACATGTTTAAGTCTATGTAATTAATGAGGAATCAATTACTAATTTAGTTGACAACTATTGTGATTGTTGTAATTAATTTATGACATTATTATAGCCCTTTATAAACATAAATAAATCTGAAACCTATGTTATCATTTATGTCAACCAAGCTACCATGTTTTGGATTATAGACATATTGTATCGACACTTGACAAACTTTTTTACCAGGGTCAAAAGTTCCCCAAAAATTCTCCTCACTTGCACGAGGTATATTCATTTTTCATCCACACTGGCGTTCCCATAGCGACGTCTGCTTTGATTCACGCCGCTGTGCCGGGGAATTTCATTTGCCAGGCCCTTTAATTTTACAGCTCCCTCACCGGATGTCAACCACATCGACGTGAGAGGTGCAGAGAAGGAACATGCCCCATCTTGGCAGATTTCTCCGCCCCTCCGGGCAGTGCAGGGGCGTAGGGGGAGTTGAGCTATCGTTAGTGATGTACTGCGGTGTTCAAAGTGAGCTATAGGCACCTGACACCGCCTGGACTGGCTGTAGCGCCGAGCAACGCGTGCACAGAATTTGGAATTAACCTCACGTCTATTTTCGGAGACCAAATTCAGGCTGTTTCCTAGCGGAGGTGAGAAGTGTTGAATCCCCCCTGCACCAAAGGATCAACGAAACGGAGCAGACAGAGGCGGGGAGCCAATCTCACGCTTAATTAATGATGGCTCCGACGGGATGTGCGCTCCACGACTGGTTTCTTTTCCCCTTCTCGAGGTGTGGAGTTTTTGTGGACACATGGATGGGTCAGGCGGTCCACTGGGGGCGAGAACCAGAGACCGTGTTCACACCACGCTGAGCAGTGTTGTCTCAAAGTGTGAAAAAGAGAGCACTTGTATGAAAGCAGATCAAACAGGGATTTCAAGGGGTTGTCGAGGAGTGAGGTTAAGGGGAACTGTGTGTAGTACTGTGTTGAAAGAGATAATTTGCATGAACAGGTACAGTATATCTCTGTTCTGAAAATGTGTCAAAAAGTTCAAATCCACTAGTTAAAATGTTAAATCCATGTTTTGCTGTTGCCAGTGAAAAACGTCTTGGCAAAGTTGGTAAGCCTTTCGCTTTTTTTTTTCTAATTTCATTTATCTGTTTTTGCAAATGAACTCTTCAAATACAGGTCACCAATTGAGAAAAAAAAATAATTAAAATGCTTATACAATGAACAAAGGCAAAGGTTCATTTGGGAGGCTAAAAGCTAGAGCTGTACTCTTACTTGACTTTTTCTCTCTGGCTTTTAAATGATTGTAATAGAAGCCAGGTAATCCCACTGTCTTCCACATAAAGAAGTTGTGTTATCTTAAATGTTAAATCCTTTGGCAAATGTGGCTTCACAATGACTTTCTTTAGATTACCATTTTGTGGAAATCAGCTTCCCAATGTGCGCATGCAGATAACACAAGGTGAGGTGGATGCGGTCCTTTAAATATGTCAGGCTGACACCATAAAGTGAAATAATGTGTTTTGGACTGAAACTGCAGAGTGAACGCATTTTAGTTGTAGTTTTATTAACACTTGGATCAGTACCTGAAGCTTAAATAAAGAGTCATAAACATTCAACAGGCTAAGTAAAACAAGGCAGTGAGAAAGCTGAATAAGGTTACCTATTTGCATAGTAAATATAATTCTATAATCACAATCCACTTTCATCGGTCACACAGGCAAGACCACAATCAAAGAGCAAGTAATATTTGATACTACAATGCTATATTAATATGTTTAAAGGAGCAGTATAAATCAGTAAAAAGCAGCAAAAATCGGGCCAAAAGTGGTACTGCAACCTCTCCCACTCTCTCTGACTCAGGTTGCCAGATATGCAGACGAATCCATCTGGGACCATTATAATAATAATAATAATGGAATAGACAAGAGTTTTAACATTTTATTCTACGCAAATCTACCTTAAGAGTTTGCACACACTACAAATAGACACCTGGACGTATGGAAAACCACTAAATCTCCTGGGCGTATTCCAATTGAAGTATACCTTGCATTTCCCATTTGCAGGTCTGATCGGGGGTGCTCATTTTAGATGTGGCCCTCTATCACGGGAGATCAACATCACTCGCATACTCAATTAACTCGCGCTGCCGGCCTGAGATGTTTGGTAACAATTAGGGGGGGGAAACTGCAGGGAGGTATAGGCTACACTGTGGAGTACCGTAGGGAAAGGCTCTCTAAGTGATTTGCATGGCTGCCGTGTTTCAGAAATTGCTCACGTCCATCATGTTCAAGCCGCACCGGGCGCTCAAGTCGAGAGAAAATGAGAGGTAAATTGTTTGTGGTTTAATTGGGCTTTTTTCTCCTCGTTCTCCTGACAGTATTACATTGAACTGACATGCGGAGTGATTTGAAAGACTTTTTTTGTTGTTGTCTGATGCTGGGGAGAGTAATGGAGTTTGGAGAGATGGACAAGGCTTATTGGTTCTATACAACGTTTTTTTAAAGTGAGACTGGCACACAGATGCTGAGCAGAGTCTGTGTTCAGCTCAAGAGTTTCTTCGACCGCATTTCCATAATAAGTATAAAAAAAGAATTGATGATGAACCAGATTTAATTGGTTGATAGTGTCATATTATCATCCAGTTATATTATTTAGCCTAGTGTACGACTATCTGCTTCAAATGGACCAATCTGAATTACCCAATATTTTATGAACGTGTGAGACTACAGGAATATTAAGTATTTGAAATTTGCTAGAAATGGCAAATTTCTAGCAAATGCCCTCCTTTCCCTTATTATATGATAAACATTCATAAAGAAGAAGTCTGTACCTCAACAGTGCAAGGACTGTAAATAGTTTTCTGTGAGCTCTGAATGTATGCATCTTCCTTTGTATTTCCTGCTGGCGTCCTGTCTGAAGTATACTACATTACTTTTCTATATGCCTGGGGATGTGTGCTAATCACTGATTTATTCTTATAAGCGCGAGTGTCTCCAAGTGGTCCCCTGCTTGATTATGTTTGATCAGCAATCATTTTAGTGTGTGGCTGTGTGCACAGTTGTGTTGTCAGAGATTCTCCAGTAGCAGGGCTAGAAGTGCTGAATGTTATGCAAAAGTACTTATGCCGTGGAGCAGCTGGATTCTGGCAGGATTTGGACGTGCACAAACAGTTACAGTGCATCTGCTTTCTTCTGCTTCGACACATCCATTTGGACCCAAAACTCCCCCACCAATTAGGCAAAAGTTTGTACCAGTAGAAAGGACTATATACTAGGCATGAACTATCTGGGAAATAAAATAATATATATAGTTTTCCCCTGTATAAATTTTGATTTTTTTATCCAATGTTGTTCTACATTTATTGCAAAGAAAAGAAAATAAAGACCATCTCAACTTTGATATGGCAGTATACATATATACAGTGTTGGTTCAGCCCTACTGCATACTGTATACTGAGTATTGTGTGAATATGTGGTACAGTATATCAATTCAACTGTATCAGGTCATTCAGAGTAAAACCATAAGACCTAGTAAGTAAGAATAAGTAACCAGTAAGAAACTTAATTGGGTTG